GTGTGTGTGTGTCTGTCCTTAAAAATTATCCATGGGGATTCTTTGAAATAAGTTGAAAGTAACTCCCTCCAGAGAGGAGGTACAACTGCTTTTCCTAAGTATCTAGAAAGAGTAACACTTTAACTTTGACATTACTTTAAATTGCTTATGTAATATAAATTCAGGCTGCAATTCTGTATCTATAAGAGAACTGACTTTTGGATTTAACTTCTTACAGATGATTTTGCCTCTTTTCTGCTCAAACCAAGGTAACTTTTTGGAAAATCCTGAGAGTGGGAATAAAGAAGGTCTCTTTCTGGTACACCCTTACCTTAATGGTGAAGCCAGCCGGGTTCTAGCTTAGTCTTGGGAAGATCTGTTTCTGTTCTCCATCTTAGATGGAGTCCTGGGCCATGGTTTCTAGCCCCTCTTCTTTGTGGCGAGAGAACCACAGTCTCCCTGGAATGCCTCCAGGTCACACCAGTATGTGTGTTCCCCTTCTCAGTGTTCTCTTCCCTGCAGGCCCTGGTCTAGTAATTGTGTTACATATAGTAAGCTCTTCAATACTTTCACAGAGTTTAAAAATTTTTTATCCAGCATTTTTAGTTGTTTTCAATGGTCAAAACAACCTAACTCAATATTTTCAGAAAACAAGTCCGATATATTCTCGATGGAAAGTTTCAAATTGTACAGACACAGAGTACACTTGAAAACCACTTTTCAACCACACCACCATTCCAACATCCATACTCTTCCAGTGCTTTTTCCTTCCAGCTCCGTTGTTATTTTGGTATGTTCTATCTTCTTGAATTAAAAGCCTCATTCATTAATTTCTAATCTCTGTTTTCTAATAAGTATATTAAAGATATACAGTTCCATCTCAGTATAGTTTTAGCCATATCCCACAGGTTTTGACATACAGCATTTCTGTCAACTTCATTTATATGTGACTTACAACTTTAGTTGTATTTTATTCTTTAACATCAAAATGTTATTTTCTGAAATCCTTTTTTTAAAGGAATACAATAATTATAATAAAAAGAACAAGAGCAAAAGACAATAAAACAAAATAAAGCCAAAAAGATAATTTGGGCAGTATATTCATACATACAAGAGAAGTAAGCTTCTATGCAATTTGAAACTGTAGGGTTTGCAGTTCAACTCCTAAGGACATTCATTTAAAATCAATTTTAAACTATATTTATTATTTACTAATATTTTATTACTTATATTGTTACAGTTGTCTCATTTCGCCCCATTTACTCCCGTGTGCCCGACCCCCTCTCCCACATGCATTCCCCCTCTTTAGTTCATGTCCATGGGTCGTACATGTAAGTTCTTTGGCTTCCACATTTCCTATACTATTATTAACCTCTCGTTTATTTTCTACCTACTATTTATACTAATTATTTCCTTACAGGGAATAAGAAGCATAACCCGCTCCCTCTTTCCCTCCCCTGTTGCTAACCCTCCATGTGATCTCCATTTCTGTGGTTCTGTTCTTGTTCTAGTTGTTGGCTTAGTTTGTTTCTTTTTCTTTCTATATGCTAATTTTTTAAATTTTATTTTATTTTTAATTTGTTTCTGTTTTTTAAGTTTGGTTGTTGATAGTTGTGAATCTGTTGTCACTTTACTGTTCATAGTTTTTGATATTCTTATTTTCCTTAGGTAAATCCCTTTAACATTTCATCTAAGAAGGGCTTGGTGATGATGAACTCCTTTAACTTTATCTAGGAAACAGATAAAATCAATTTAAATTATACATGTTCCTGTATAAAGGACCCATGGACAAATGGGGGGCAGGACTGAGGGTGGGAGGTGGGTGTGAGTTGGGCAGGGGAAAATGGTGGTGAGAAAATGGAGACAACTGTACTTGAACAATAATAAAATAAATAAAAATAAAAAGATAAAAAATCAATTTAAATTACACAGGGTTATCTCTAAAATGCATGCCCCATTTCTCACAAATTGAAACATTTTATACTAAGACACATGCAAGGCTTTCATATCAGAATCTCTATCTGTATGGCTCCAAGTAATAGGTCCTCTATTAATGGGCATTTAATGAGTTTTCATATTTATTATAAACACCTGGCTGCACTGAAAATCCTTGGACACACACATTTGTGCCCATGTAAAAACTATTACCTGTGCCCTGGCTGGTGTGGTGCAGTGGACTGAGTGCCAGGCGGAGAACTGAAAGGTCACCGGGTCGATTTGCAGTCATGACACATGCGTGGGTTGCGGGTTGGGTCCCCAGTAGGGGGCGTGTGATTGGTGTGTCCTGCACATGGATGTTTCTCACCCTCTCTTTCTCCCTTCCTTCCCCCTCTCTATAAATAAATAAAATCTTAAAAAAAAGAATAAAGGGCAGTTTAACTTAAAAAAATTATGTGTATAATATTCCTTTAAGTGAAATCACTAACTCAAGGGCATATACTTAACGAAATGGTTAGGTACTGCTAAACTGCTGTGAACGGGTTGCCTCAATTTGCATCAACACCAACGGTGTATAACAAATCCTGTTTCATCACGCTGCTCATGACCAAACTTTAAGTCTTTCCCCACAGTTACCATATTGTTTTAAAATTTTCATGTCTCTAAATCTGATTGAGGCCAATAGCTTTTTTAAAGTTTAAAGGCATTTACATTTTGTTACCCTGTTTCTTTGTTTTTCCAACTTGAACTGGGTTAAGTTTTTGTTCATTATTTTATGATATTATAATTAGAGAAAGTGACCTATATGAGTATGCTTTTTTTGGCTATACAAGTACATAGATTTTCTTTGAGCTTAATACTGTGTTCAATTTTTCTGAAACATTTCTTAGGTATTTGAACAGGGTTTTTTTTTTTTGTTTGATTTTTTTATGAATCTGGGAATAAAATTCTAAATACAGGGTGGGACAGAAAGTAAATTTACAGAAGTTTGAAGGAAAAATGATATAATAACTAATAAATGATAATAGAAGAATAAACTCTAACTTTCATGTACTAAAAACTGTAAACCACCTTTCACCCCACCTTGTATATTTATTTGATAAAGGGTGTTAACTGAGTTATTCAAATCCTCAAATTCTTTTTATTTTGGTTTCTTTGATCTACTAAATCAATAGGTTAATATTACCACAATAACTGAATTTTAGTGTATACTTGTATTTATAAATACATTTAGAAGCTTTGATGTTAAATTAAGTTTAACATTATTATCTTTTTGTTGTCATGAATTCTAATATCACTGGTATTAATATTCCTGTACTTGTTTGTTGTTGTAGTCAGAATTTGTCTGTTATGTATTTTTTACTCCTTTATTTTCAACCTTTATATATTGCTTTCTTTAGGATATGTCTCAAGAATACCATATAACTCAATTTTAACCCATTGTGAGAGCTACTATCTATTAATAGGAGAATTTTATTCATTAATATTTATTGTGATAATTGGTGTGTTTTTTAACTTTCCCTCCTGCTTTTTGTTGATGAGTGTTTTTTCCTTTTAGTGATTTAGAAATTATACATCTAATTTTCCTAATGGTAGCTCGTAAAGTTTTAAAACACACAGTTAAACATATATTTTCCCATCAATTTCTGATGTTAATTAATGCCTATTATTTCTCCTAAACAGTTTCTTTAACTTGACAAATTTAACTTCCTTTCTGCTAGAATTTTCTTGGATTTTTATCTTCAGGTTATTAAAAATGTTTTATATCATACATTAATATTTTGAGACAACTATAATTTTTACTGATTTCTTTCCTTATCATTTCTTAAATTCATTGTTTCCTATTTTTTGCATTCACTGGTAATTTTGCGGCCTTTCCTCCCTCAGTATTCATTTCTCAGAGTGGTTCTGTAGGTTTTCAATGGGACTTTGATCCCACCAATTAGATACACTTGCATTAAGATCTGAAATCAGAACTGAGCCAAGTAGGGAAGTATGAGCAGCACACGAGACACCTGGTTTGTTGGAGTAAGTCAGAGCGGGGGCACGGGGGTCCAGGGCCAGGTTCTGGGGCAGGGCGTGGGAAACGCTGACCCCTGGTGTAGGTAAAGTGGTAGGAGCCTGGAACTCGCAGGTGGGACCACAGCCTCCTGACTGTAGCAAAGGTGGCCGTTTCCTTGGTGGGCTGGCCCCATCTAGAGACTGCATCTCCAACCCTCCTAATGATTTTGTAGATGACTCATTCTTTGTATATCAATAATTTTCTACTTTAGCCAGAGTGAATTCTCTTATACTGGAATCATGACGGCAGACCATCCTTGACTTCTCTCCCTCCATCCACACCACATCCTGTCGGTAAACGTGCTCTAAATATTCTTCAAATTATCCTCTTCTCCAGCCTCACTGTCTTGGTTCAGGCCCTCGTCAACTCTCTCTTGGACTAGAGACTGGCCTCTTGAGTGGTATCCATTCCTTCCATTTGTGTCAGCTCAAACAGCAGCCTTTCTAGAACACAAATCTAACCACATGATTATTGTGCTTAATTATGAGGCACAAGTGTTCACTTTTGTTTTGTATGGATTGCAAGGCTCCTCAAAATCAGACCACAATCAATCTTCCTAGCTTCATATCCTATCATTATTCACAATCACCCCATGATCCAATTACACTGAACTACTTCCAATTCCTTGTGTCTCCGCACATCTCTTTCCCCCACACCTGCTACCTGAAATACTCCTACTGATTCCTGCAGAACTAGATGAATGTTACCTCTCTGTGACACCTTCCCCAGTGTTCTTCCAAATGCTCTTAGTCTCCTCTATGCCCCCATAGCCCTGTTAGAGCATCTGATTTTATTATAAGTGTTTATCTATATCTTTAACCCATTAGCTTATAAGTCATGCAAGAGTGAAGACTTTGTCCTGCTCATTTTTATACCCCCACTTTGAATAGGGCCAACTACAGAGCAAATTTAGGATCAATGTTTATGAGATGTATAAATAGCACAGTTAAGAGGTGTGTGGAGTTTATTCCCTTTTCTCGTACAACAGTGATTCTATAAAACTATAGAAATTAAGGGTTACCTGGCATCACCCAGAATTGAAATCATACGGTACTGGGGTAGCTCGGAAGAGGCTACATGTGCTAGGATTCCAAAGAGCCTTTCAGCCATTATCATATCATTCTGTGTCACCTGAAGAGATACAACAGAGATGGGTCACAAATGACACTGTCTCTTAGCTTGATACAACTACCACAGTTCCAAATAAATGTCCAGATTAAGTATTTTCTTTGTCATCCAGGGAAGTACATTCTCCTGGGCTATTGGAAGGGAGTTCGCATTGATACTTCCCATTCCTCCCTGAGCTTTGTGAGAATGTGGCTCATGGTAATAGAGGATGACCAGAAGTTGAGTTCACACTGACTGAGAAGCTGTATTTCCCAAGAACTATACAGAGGCACCTTAAATTCTTAAGGAATTTTTCAGAAATCCTTTAGCTTTTTAGAGCAGAACAATGTAGGGAGGTGAATTCTCAAGTGTCAATGACGTGGGTTCATTTTAATAACGCTTCAAAGGAACGACGAGGTGGTGCTCAGACCCTGCTCCTCTGAGGATAATTCCACCCCTGCCGAAGAGAAGGGACACAGTTTGGCAGGGGTGCTCCTGCTCATTCTGAAGCTGTGGCTGCCTTTCAACACTACAGAGAATAACCTGTCATAGGTATTCCGCGTGAGGGTTCATTCCTGTTAACCAAGAAAATACTGAAAGCAGGACTTGGATTAATATTTGGGCATGTTTTCTTTAATGTGAAATAGCGTTGCTTTTTAAATGCTATTAGTTGGTTTATATAATTCAGTGGTTTCCAACTGGGGGCCATGCTATCCCCTACGGAACACAAACTCTGGAGACCTTTTGGTTGCCACACCTGGTGAAGGGATGCTACTGGCATGTAGAGAATAGAGGCCAGAACTGTTGCCACACATCCCACAATGCACTGGAGAGATCCCACAACAACAGGGCTGAAGTTGAGAAACCCTGGCATAATTAAACTTTGAAGCTTTTGAAAGTTCATTTTACGCACTAGCTGTAATACACTGCATGGGCGTTTTCTGAAAAAAATAAACCCATAATTCAGAAGCATCTCATGAATCAGGGCAGAATGACTCTCCATTCCTTTCACTAGACTCTCCTAGTTAATGAGGCTGCTGCTCCCACAGATCTTTCCTTCAGCTGCCAATTAACTTGTGTGGTCTAATATAGTCACCTAGTGGCCACTGCAGGCCACTACTCCATCTCTTCTTCAGGTTCATAACTCAGTTCAACTCTACCTCAAACAACACCATTTTCTCTTATACACAAAGAGAAATAGAAATATCATCATACATTACTATATACTGTCAAGGATGAGATAAGCAGCTTTGTTTTAAGTCATTTATTAGAGTGTCAAATATCTCTGGCATTGACATTTTTGGAACTTTAAATCAGATTAAATTATATTGGTTCTTTCCCATTCTTTTCAACTTTCTACAATTATAGTATACTAATCCTTCCTGCTTCTATAATATATTATTGCACCTCTAGTAGTGGTCCGTGTCTGGGTAAATACACTATCTTAGGGTTAACCAGGATAAGAGTTTGGCTGTTAATCATGGAAAATTATCCATGGCCAAAACAATCATTGTACTTCCAGGGTGAAACTGGAAGTAGCTTTGGAAACCTTTGGGACTAATACTAGGTCTGACCATGGATTCACAGCCTGCCTGGGGAGGTACAAAGAGGGTAGACAAGAGTACACAAGACTGAGCCAAATCTCCTAAGAACTAGCTGGAGAAATTAATAGTTATCTCAAGGTTCTAGATTTGGCCTTATCTTTAACCGATAGCTGACACTGTGGTTATGGGCCTACCCTGGTGGGTACAAATTTCACATGGCTCTTATACAGTGAACGTCTCCTCATTGTACGCTGGATTTGGGGGGTTCTAGGCCAGAGGGACTCGGAGTGTATCAGCTGCAGGGAAACACAGTTGCTCTTACCACCATGCCACCCAAGTTGAATACAGCTCATCTTACAATAAGGAGGTCTTCCGAATTTTAAGAGATAATCACAATAATACTAACAGCATATTAAAGACTTTTTCCTTTAGAGGACTATTTAAATTCACTTCAGGAATTCTACAGTAGAGAAAAAAGCAACATTTCTCTCTTATCTTCCTAAATCATGTTTGAGGAGAACATGGCCTTTGAGTAGCTGGAGGATTAACCTTGTGACCAGCTAGCAGAAGCACCCTGAAAAACAACTTTTCATTGCTAGTTTTCCGGTTACTCAGGCCCCAGGTCCGGGCCACACAGTGCAGACATGCGGCAGGCAGCTCTTACAAACCACTCACAAAGCAGTCCGGATGCTTGCTTTATTTCCTTTATTTCTCTCACGTTTTTCTTTCTCTTCTTTCACCTCTGCTCCTTGCTCCCTTCTCCTCATCTCTTCTTTTCTGGAACCCCTCTTCTTTCCTCGTGCACATTCCCCTCCTCCCATTTTGCTCTCCCCTTCCTCCACCATGACCCTTACTAGCTGGTATTTGGGTATTACTTCCTCCTCCCCTCCTGCATGCCAGGCCGTCTACACAGCACTTTTAAAAATACAAAGGTCAGATTACCTACAGAAGTATTCTTTTTTTTAAACTGTCATTCTACCAACCTTTTTACTTCTCTGAATGCTTATAAGCAACAGTAAAAATACTATTTAGCATGACCTGGTTACTATTTTATTTTCAAAATTTGTCTAGTGCTTTAGAAGTTTTTGAATAGATTTTTAGCTTTTTGACATTTTTTAACTGTCAAGATTAAAAAAAATATTTCTCAACAGTTCCAACATGGTTACTTAAATGCCTGACCACTTTCATGCCTCTTCCCTTTAAGAAGGACACTGTTACTCCACAGTGACCTAGTGCGTGGCTTACCTCTGTCCCATTTATCTTCTGCACACTGAAGTGGCTCAGCCTGAATAGTACATAGTATTTCCAGAGTGTAAAATTGACAACAGGATTTCCTTGTGGATCAATTGTCAACTGGTCAATGCGACGGAGCTGTGCTAATGCGTTAAATTGCTGCAGCATTACAAGATTTGTTTCCTTGAATTTAAGGTGCTACAATAATAAAACATACAAAAATAGCTTAAGTTTAATCAGCTTGAAATACTAACATTAAAATTTCACTGATAATTTCCTCAGTAAATCTGTAAACTTTAGACTTAGCTAGTGTGTTTTCAATTACAGGAAGTCGACTGAATGTACTAAACGTTTAATTCGTATGAATACATTTAATGCACCTAATACTCACTGAGGAAATCCATTAATCCCTCCAGTATTGAATTCAGAATAATTTCCATTCTGCAAAGGACATCCCCTCATTTATTAACAAACTCAATTTCTTAAAAATTATATAAATATACAATAAAATTAAAAATTTATAAATACACAGTAACTCATTACAATGGTTTTATATACTTTTGCTGAAATTAAAACTGCAAAGGGAAGAGTAAAAATAAAATTTTTAGGACTTTATAAATACAGGGTTCACAATACTACTGAGAGAACTAGTGAGCCATTATACTTGTACCTTTCCAATTACTGTGTAGGCTACTTAACTGGCTCCAGGAAAATCAGGTTATGAAACCTGAAATGCTAACGTAAGTGTTCTGTCTGTGAAAATGGATGTTCTTTTATACAGATACTGGCTCTACTTCTCTCTGTCTTATTTAGGGACAATGATGTGAAGAAAGGCCAGGGCAGGTGAGAGATATCACTTGGCTAACAGAGAAAAACACAACAATAACTCAAAAAGAAACTCATGGAAATCAGTTTCTGCAAATGCATACCAATAAACAATATAATAATACCATAAGTGAAAAATTCTAACTGTCAAAGTAATTTTAATGACCTACTAAAATTATTTTAAACATTGTTAGGGGACTATGATAATTATGTAAAAACGTACACGTTCCATTAATACCAAGTAACATGAATGAATACGTAATACATGGTTGGGTGAGGTCCTGCTGAATGCTTTACAAGTAGAAGAACAACTTGAATAAAATTATATTATTCCTTTACACTCCATAAAGAATCATTTTCTTTATAATTTCTAATATTAACAGAAAGCTGCAAGGGCATTTATGAATAATTATTTAAATCCCAGATCCAGAAAACCAATACAAAAATTTAGTCTCCCTATCAGATAGAAATTGCACAAGAGTTAAAAACAGGTGTTTAGGCTAACCGTACAAATCACAATTGAGAACAATTCGAGCCCACTAAAAGGAAATGTTTACCAGAGAATTAGGGAACTTCATCTTCAACTTGGGAAGCACTTGGACGATTTCATCAAATTCTACGAAAGTGAAGGACACTGTGGTCACCATGCCCGCTGTCTGAACGCTCCAGTTCCGGTCCAGGCACTCCAGCGCACCTGAGCCGTACAGGGAAAGCGTGTCCCCGTCCACGTCGACGAGGTGCGTGTCTGTGGCAGACAAGCCTTGCAAAGTACTGGTGAGCACTGAGTCCAGAGACCTGGAAAACCCAACACACAAAACTTTGATAGTCTTACCATGCAAGTAAATAACAGAATACAAAGACTTGTTGGAAAATGTATTTAAAATTCTATATTCACTTTTTCATTTCAATAATTAAACTTAGAGCACCAAAGGGTAATTTTCAATAGAATATCAGGAAGTTTTGTATTCTTCTAGTCATATATTTTAATTCAAAAAGAGGCTCATGTAAATAAAAAATAATACCTTTACATCCGAATTAATATTCTGTTTAGCTTTAAAACAATCCACTTAACGTATCATGGATATGTTTTCCTGTCAATACAAATAGGTTTTTCTAATCTATAAAGTATTCCACTGCCCAGTTGGAAAAAACCCCATATTTTATAAAAACATTATTTCTATAGCAAGAACCATGATACAAAAATATGTCTCCCCAAGTGTTTAGAAAACACTGGGGGAGACATAAAATAACTCTGAACAGTTAATCTCTCAGATGTTGGGTTAAGGGATTACTTTGGCTTTCTACTTTTGAATACTTCAGTTTTGTCTGAAATTTTGCATGTGTATACTACAATTATAAGCAGTGAAATTAATAAAAATTCCCTCCCCATTTTGAAGAAATTAAAATAATCCACTATTTACTTTATACAATCTATACATACACACACACACTACTCAATATGACAGTTGCTACCTTCTGTAAAGGTTACCTAAATGACAGCCAGAGACGAAAAGAAATAGCTCACTGCAACTCAGATTTTCTGACTTTAACCAATCTCAAAACTCAAAGCTTGGCTTTGTTCCACGTGTTTTCATTCTGGCACTTTTGCTCTCGTAAGTGCCTTCACTCATTTTAGTACCTTGTTCTCTTCTGTGGGCGTTCGCACACCCCTCCAGCCCATCAATTCTCAAACTTCATCATTATGACATGTTTACAATCTCACCTCCTGTCATACAGTGAATTCCTTGAGGCTAAACATTATATTTGTTCATCTTTGGCTGTCCTAGGCCCTAGTAATGGGCTTTTTACAATATATAGTGAGTAACTGCATTATTAAAGATTCAAATTTTTTACAATGCTGATATTGAGGGATAGAGCTGATAACCATCACCCTGTTGGTTTATCATGCTTTATTAGACTTCCATAAACTTATTTCAGGACAACCAGTTAATGTGAAACACACTTGTCTACACGATAACAAGCTGAGTAATAGCATGAGTCAACTCTAAGTAAACATGCAATGGAAAGGCTTAAAAGATTTCTGACAGACTACTGCTTAAGACAATGATTATCACAGACACTAATCAAACATTCAGTGAGCAGTAGTATACGAATAATCTTTGATGATAATCCTATAAAGGTAAAGGATGACAATGAAACAAAAAGAAGATGAGAATTAAGAGTTCTTTATATCGTGCTTTGGATGACAGTCCTATGTTGACCTACGTAGGGCATATGATCATTTCTTAAATAACAAAGGAAAAGAGTCACATCTCACTGCCACTAAAATAAAGAAGGCTTGATGGAAAGAGCGCACAGCCCCATGACAGCACTTCCCGCCCTGCACGGCAATTACTGTCCACTTGTCTGTCTCTATCGCTGAACACGGTGATCCTCAAGGGCTTGGACTTGTTCACAGTTAGTGAACGAGCATCCAGCACGGCTCCCAGCACATGCTGTGCTCCATAATATTTGAGTTAATGAAGTCAATTATGAAGTTTTTATGAATATTTACTGACTCATATGAAGGATTCCCAACCTGAAGCTGTAGTTTGAGCACAGAGGCAGAATCAGTGATATAGACACAAACAGGGTTAGCAAGAAGTACTCTGAGGTGAGGCAGAGACAGATCAAGTAGTAAGATCAGGGCAGTACAAAAAGGTTGGAGTGATGCCTGAAGGCCATGATACCCAGCAAAAGTAGTTTATTTTAATGTAAAAATAATGGGGAGTCAAGAGTTATACACCAAAAACGTGAATAAATCCTTTGAGAAGTGGTGTATTTTATATCATATACTTGGAAGTACCTTGCTTCCGTTTGTCCATATGATTAAAAGTTAAAGACTATAACAACAGACCAATCTAAGACAGTGACTGTGGAACTGGAAACTACTCCTGCTCCTAATATCCCACCTACAGAAGAGAAAACAGAAGTTTAATACAGAACAGATAGACACTCTGATTTTTAAAAAAATGATAAAAGCAAAACTCGGCAAGCAAACCTTTGCTTTATCTCTAACTTCGATACTGTTGAAGGCTTTTGAGCTCTATGTAACTATACCCAGTTGTCTAGTAATTCAGTGCCCGGTTGAGACTGCTCACTTTTTAAGGAGAGTATTGAGCCTATATGGGAAGATGAGAAAAGCAAAGGAAGGAGGGTCATGGCTAAGTACATTGAACAAACAGCTGAGGACAACGTGATCTAGAGTGCTTTTAGCTAGAGACATTGCTGAGCCTTATTGGAGAATCTTTTGATGACTACAATGGTGCTGTATGTGGAGCCTTTGTTAATGTGAGAGCCAAAGGTAGTAAGACAGCAATGCGGACCACTGGCTGTGAAAACAGAAGCTGTTACATATGTAGGGGGTACCCAAGGAAAGGCTAGAACTTCCTGCAGAGATGACAACTGGTTATCAGTCCCATGCAGACACAGCTACTAAGGGGGCTCTGCCACTAAAAATCGGTTTGTCATTTAAGAAGACTCCTTTTCTGTATTCCCATAGCAGACTGCATCATTGAGATTTGGGAGCTGAACCAAAGCTTCTTCAAAAGGAGAGTGGACTGCATTTAAATTTGATTTCATCGAAATGTTGCTAAGATACAAAAGTCTCATTTGGCTTTGTATTGTACTTCTGTGTTCTTTATTTAATTTTAGATAGAGTGTCCACTTATCCTAATCAAAGAATTACAGTACACATTGTCCCCAAGATCTATAAATGTGTTCCTGGACCACTCCGTAATAGCTTAGTAGAATTACTATTACAAAAACATTTTACCCATCTACAATATTAAAAAAGAACTTGGATTTCAGCCTGGCCAGGCAGTTCAGCTGGCTGGAGTGCTGTCCCAGTACACCAGGGCTGCTAGTTCAATCTCCAGGCAGGGCACATACACGAATCAACAACGGATTCATAAATAAGTGGAACCACAAATTGATGTTCCTCCCTCTCCTTTCCTCTCTCTCTCTCAAATCAATAGAAAAAACTTGAGGCATAAAAAATATGCCTTTACAAAAAAGAGGAACTTGTATTTCTATGCCTTACAAGAAAGAATTCTGTTCCATTGCATGCGAGAGCACAGTTTGCTGGTTTGAAAGAGGATGATGTGTTAGGTTTTCTGGCAGTTTGTTTTGTTTCACAGCATTGTTTTTCCTGCATGTTCATGCTTAGTTAGGGCTGCTAGATTTTAATTTGTTTGTTTCCCTACTTGATAGCACTAGCGATTTTAATTTTAGTTTTCATTTGTTTTGCTTTTGTTTTTTTCCTCATGTAACACTGGTGAAAGATCAAGAATAAGACACAAGGTGTAATGAGCAATTTTGTGCACTCTTGGTAATTTTGTTTTTTTTTTTGCAGCTACAAAGTTCTGCTACAAATTCATGCATTTCAATCAAATTAGTCATCTATGTTTGCATGATTTCCTAAATATAACTGTGGGTTATCAGAAATGTAACATCATCCTTATATTCCTAATTAAAATTAGAAAATCTGTTTTTGTTTGTCTATGATGTATTTTAACACTTTTATTACTTAGGTTTTTTGCTTTGGTTAAGAAATAGCTCAAACAGAAGAGCAGTCCCATTTATATTAAGACCATGTACCAAAATGCATGTAAAACATGTACGGTGAAACTGTACTTCAGACAACCGGAGTTGAGCTTTCACTCCTCCACTTCTACAGAAGGGCTGCACTTCTCACTGCGGCGCAGACTCTGTCATGTGCTCTGTCATGTCTTCCACACGAACACGTAAGTCTGGAGCACTATTTGATTATTGTATTTATTTCAATTTAAAAGAAACAGTATAGCATCTTATATATGGAATTTAGAAAAGAATAGAAACTATAAAATAAAAGTATATTATTGGAAATGGATTATTTATTTTGTTTAATGTTTTGTCAAGCAAACTGTTGGGAAAATAACTGAAATAATAAGCAAGCTTACATTCAGCAAAAACAGTTATATAATTATAAAACAAAGCGATGTAATCTCCAATTTATAGAAATCTGATATGGATATTCAGTAAGAACAAATGCCAAGTGACCTAGGCTGTAGGCAGGTTTGCCCTTCTCAAGAGGAAATAGAGCACCTGTTAAATAAGTCATACACTCCTTAACCCACATCAATTACTCTCTGAATAAGGCTTCAGTTTAGCCTCTCACCAACAGAGCAGAGGAACTTGTTCCTTGGGCAAGATGTGATCTGATTTCCACAAGAAATAACTTAGAAAAATTTGCTAACCAATGTTTATATGTTGGGGACTGTCCTTTCAGTTTTTCTCGTATGCTTGATAATATGTTCACATCTTTTAGTTCAAACATATAATGTTATTTCATTTATTCATTCATTCATTTATTTCCAAATATTTAGTGAAAGCCCATTATATATAGTGGTTCACAGCAAAAAAAAATCATCTGTATTGATAAGGACAATTAATATGGACACTATGCACAAGCTTTTGGATATATTAAAACTTTTCTTCACTTTTATTGGGCTATGGTCCCAGAACAATGAATTCTCTAATCATACTCTGCAATCAATTTAATAAACACATGGGATATAATTTCTCAACAGAACTGACCTCAACCTCATCAAACTAACAGGTTAACCTGGAGAGCTTGCTATGTGTTAGATATTGTGTGAGCACTGGGGATAGAAAACCAATTAAGACATACTTGCCCTCAAGATTGCCCAGTCTGGATAGAGGGTAGAGAGCAAGATAAATATATATATTAACTTGAATATAATATACTTAGGATCAATCATGAATTTTTAAATGATATGCTTTGGGAGTACTGA